GCTTAGTGTAATAATAATAATGTTATAATGTAATGATATTATAATAATGTTCGAAAAAGATCATGTAGTATAGAAAAAGTATCGATGTTTCCAATCGTCCTTTAGGACTAATTGTTTCTTGTTATTAACCTTAGACTGATTACATAAGCAAAATCTGCGATCGGAAATGTATTGTACAAATAACTTGAAACCAACTCTATCTGCTCATTGCATATTGGCAATTTATAAAAAGGCACTGATGTTGTGAACATTTTTCTGTTTGATATGAATCGAAAGTTTTTATTAATTTTGAATGGCATTTACAAAGTGAATACATTTTGAACTTAGTTGAATTAAAGGACTTTTCGTACAGAAAGACAAAATAACTGCTTCAATGTACCAAAAGCACGGGAAACCCAATAATTGACATCAGCCCATGAAGTCATCGACTGTTGGCTTGAGTCAAGTTGGTTGATGCAGACTAGTCGATTGAAGTTCTTGCGATAACAGTGATCAGTGGTTGGAGGCGTTGGGTGACATGATACAGATCTAATCATTCCTTATATTTGTTTAGACCATGATATTCAGTATTCATATACACAAAGTCTTTTTCAGTTATTAGTCTTGCACATTATCAATGCAACTAGATCATTTGGACTCATTTGCTGTTCATTATGTTAATATTTTTTATGTCGTCCTGATGTGGTATAATAACTTAGGCTAAAGTATATTTGCTCCGGATTCTACATTGCTTATTGTTATATCCTAGTGAAGATTAAATTACGAGTAAATTCTGAGAACTATTAATGGACTAATATTTTATATATATTGTTATTGTATAACTATTCAGTAACTAGACTGTATATCTACATCCCTCTTATAAGCTTCATTTTCCCCTATAAATTATTATTGTACGATTTACTGTACTTAAGTTATGTTCAGTTTATTGATTACTGTCTCACACGCTCATAGCCACTTTTGGCCTTATTTTGTATAGATGTTATTTCCTATTTTATGGTGTGAAGCGGTCTGTTTGACTGGTATATAAACCAAGTATGTTTGAAATAAAGGGTTCACATAGCGGAAGCTATTATTGGTGTTCTGGATTCAACTGGACGGGCTAGGCAAGCAAAGGATCAGTAAGGACGCTAAGCTGATCAGACCGATCGAACGTCATTGGTTTAGTACAATGCAAGAGTGAATAAGTCGTATTTTGACTGGCGAATAAATCACATGATAACTAGCCGGACTTAAAGTCACAAAACTTATGACTAGTTGATAAAACCTATTCCAAAGAGAAAGTTTTGGAGTAATCAATATTTTATTTATTTTTATTACACTAGTTTTAACGGTTAAATGTAATGTGTGAAATGGAGATGTCACTTAGACTTTTTAAACTGGAAACAATACAGTGTGATTTGAACAAGGAGTTCAGTTATTGATGAACTGAATGCCTAATGCAATTTTTAAAACAGAGAGCAATTGTGTTGTGAACAGATTTCGTTAAAGGAATGTATTATCATTTACAGTAGGTTTAAAAGATACAAGTGTTTCGTCAGTGAAGATTTGTTTCCATAAGAAAGGCGAATCTTGTGATAAAGTAATTATGAATGTACTAAAATTTACAACCACATGACTGATCCACCAAATGAGGCGGAAGTTCGCAAGGACCTCCCACTCTAAACGCTACAAATCACCGGGTCCAGATGACTTACCTCCGGCCCTTTCTAAAGATGGTGGTGACTTTTTGGTTATTTGCCGACGCTGGGACTGGTTGGAAAAAGCGGAGAGGTGGTCAGTGTATGACATGGTGTCGTAGTATGATAGCTGAAAAGGGCTGGCTTCTGTTGGTCCTTCCTCCCTGGGTGGGGTCCGAGAGATGGTGCAACACAGTGGCTAGAGACGTTATCAGATATGGCTCAGAATAGAAGCCAGTGGCGACCCTGCTGTAACCTTCTTTTAGTTTCTTCATAAACAGTGACCGTAACTTCTTTAACTGTAAGAATTCTTTCTGGGTGTACCTTTCTGTTTCCCCCATTATTATTACTATCTCACTACCATACGCCAATTTGTGGTCTTTATTGTTCCTTTTTTTCTTTTTACACACACCTTACATCATTTATCTCTTCCCATTCTCATTATTGTTGTGCTGCACATTTGTATCTGGTGCCACCTTGTACCAATATTTATGTGTTCAAATAAATAAATACAACCAGATATTTTTCCCAGTGTAGCTATGGAATTACCAATACTAGGTTTATTCTGTGACAGACTGTTATATACTAAGACACTCAATTTGTATAATGTACATTTGACAGCCATTTACCTTGAAGAACAAGACTAGTTATAACAAGAGGAAGATAACAAATATTTAAAACTACCATAGATTTAACTATAAGACCTGAACTTCCTTGTAGTCCGTTTGATCATTGTACAGAATGTGGACTACTAAAATAGGGTTGATGAGGATGCATAACAAATCGACTGGAGGAATACGCAAATGAAAAAGCAACTGATTCGTGGTAAATATACGTGTTTTGTTATTTTCGTGAACCTCGAGAAATTTACTGACATGTATTTATTACTAACTCACATTTTATAGTTGCAGAAATGAAGTGTCTAAACTACTTTTTGGTTTCAAACAAATTAGCTGGAACTAATCCCAGAAAAAATTATTTCGGAGGAACTCATATAACTGTAAATATTAGCACCATACATAAATACCGCACTAACCTCATGATGTAAGCCACCTTGAACTGGATTGTGTGTATGTACTGGTATCAAGAAATCACATGGGATTAACCGTGTGCCTTGATGAATAAGTTGATAAAATGCATGTTGACCATTTGTTCCTGGTTCACCCCAAACTATGGGACCAGTGGAATAATCAACTTCTTTGCCATCACGTCTAACAAACTTTCCATTCGATTCCATATCACCTTGTTGGAAATATGCAGCAAAGCGTGACATATATTGATCATATGGTAGAATTGCTTGAGTTTCTGCCCCATAAATATTGATATACATTACACCTAACACAGCTAGGATGACAGGAAGCTAGAAAGTAAAATATATTTATTATTTTGCAAAACTACTTATATAGTTAGACATAAAAATGATACTACACATGGTAAGTGAACATAGGACTTCAGAGAACAAAATGTTACGGCTAACATGTTTACTTTTAATTAGAAAGCCATAATCAGGTAAAAATGAACGTGAAGAGATGGGGTAGTATAAAAACTGAAAGCTGGTGATATATCTAAATGGCCCGTTAACTTTAAAAATTTACAAACGACGGAGAGTATAATAGCAACTTATGAATCATTTTAACCTTCAAATTATGGAACATATTCTTATCCGACAAAAAATATACATTTTCAAAGACCAAGCTAGGGAAGGATAAAGAAAATTTAAAAACGCACAAATATAAATGAAGCCAGTAGTTCGTCTGTCAAATTGTTGACAGGTAGCCATCGCTATGTCGAATAGCTGTTGATTAAAGTTTAATCATTTATTTTTTGACAAAATCTATTTAGAAAATATTGGTGCTACTGAAAGATTTACATTCTTGTCATAATTAGTATATAGTTAACACTATAGAGGAAAGAATACTATCGAAATCTTACTCAAAAAGCCATTAATTTGGTGGTTTTCCCTCAAGTAGAGGCAAACTATCTTATGTACAACCAGTGTGAAGGATTAATATTCCGTATTGAATAGTTATGTTATAACTCCTCAATCAATTCCAGTTGAATTGTATCATGTACAATGATGTGATTGAATTCCATCATTAGTGTCGCACGCCCCATCACAATGTCTTTTACATTGGAAATTCTACACTTATATCACTTAATACGAAGGAACACTTGATGGTCATTCCGATTATACTCTGTCTACTCATGTATTCACTTACCAGTAGTATCCATAATATCTTCACTTTAGCAGGTGATATCTGTTATACTAAATAACAAGCAATGTTATTATAAACACTCATTTTAGTGTCATAACTTACGTTGGTCACCGAGCTTCGTTAATTCAAGTTATATTATCTCTGGTCATCATACATTAAACGTCTTATATTGACTTAGATCATGACCTCATCAACAAAATATTTGGCATTATAGTTTACAAACTATTGATACATTTACTAATGATGGACAGATACTCGAAACGAAAATAAAGGTAATTTATTATTTATTTGTATCTATTTGAATATAAGTTTGGTGAATTACTATCGGATTTTTGATAATAAAATACTTAATCTATACATTTGTATAATCACACATTAATGAACGTTGACGAATAATTACATAAAATAACAATAAATATTATATACATTATACTGATTTGACAAGCTTACTGACTAAAATTAAATATATGAAATATATGTTAACGATTCGTATAATATGATAAAGTTAGCAGTTTGTAAATGGGACAATGGTTAACTAAAAATTATTTTGTTAAATTCAACTTAAACTAAATTTTATATATTCTAAACTATATTAACCCAGTGTATCAATATCAAAAAACAGTTATTCACATTGATATTGAGGTTGGAGTTAATGAATTTTGAAATAGGTTAAAAGATTGAAAGTTAGTAATGTAAGAAAATGACAAGTGGGTTTAAATGAATGCTCATACAACACATTATTGGGGTGTGGCCAGCTAAGAAAACTCCCTGCTTCGGTTTGGGTGCCCAGACATTATTCCAGACCTCACACAAACCGAATGATGAAGTCTGGCGCATATATATTTGGTGCCTGCTTGTACCAATGTTTATGTGTTTGAATAAATAAATAAATAAAGATTAAAATACATTAGCTCATTTTAATTCTGACATACATGTTTTTATACCTAAACACGAAATTCATTATTTGAGTTCCTTGTTTCATCGTAATAGGGTTATTAGAAAAATAAATTTTGGAGAAGTTAACTATTCAAATATGATCTGAAACTCAGTTCTTTCTTAATGCACTGGATTCTCTAGTGTGAAAGGAGAGTTTTAATAGAATGTAACAACTCATCACTTTCAATAAAGTATTATTTCTTCACTAACAAAAGTTGTGATCATCAGCTGGTAGATTATTTAAACCAACGTCCTGAATCAGAGTTCCAACAATATTAACACCGTGAACAAAAAACACATTGCATCGGGGATTGGAAGCAAACATCAGAATAATGAATAGAATCTCGAAAGGATTTTCCAGGACAGAGTTCGATGGAGAATGCTGGTGGGCAACCAATGCTCCTTCACGAGTGGTAACAGACGTAAGTAAGATTATCTATCAAAGATAATCTATTAAGAACTATGTGACATACTAAAACATGTATGTTTTTATAACGCTTTGATACCAATTTCGGCTGATGAAAATGAAACAATCAAACAATTGGAGAGAATTTTGCGTAAAAGAGGAGTGATGTGGAATTTAATTTTAAAGATGGTCATTTTCATATTTGAATTTTGAAATACTGTTTATTTGGTTGGTTTTGTGCACTGCTGTTTTGACTACTTCTTAATCCTTCGCTAATATAATAGTTGCAGGAACGATACAGTCGTTTTTTGTCAAGTGAATTTCAAGAAAAACGTCTCGCTTCTTTAAAAGCTATTAGTTGGGGGTTATTTTCAGTATATTCTAGATGATTATAGAATATAATGACTTTATAATTATTACACTATTGTATAAGAAAAGCGTTACTTATAATTTATGTAGTTTTAAACTGACTTTAATACAAATAAAAATTTTGCTCTAATATTTATCCTTATTATTTAGGAATATTAGTTCACACATAATTTACTCGGAAGAATAACAATTTAGAGCAGCATTAATAAAGAAATTTATAACATAACAACTTACGTTTTTATGTAATGGCGTTTCTTTGAAATGTTTATCCATTTCATGAGCTCCTTCCAACAATTTAATGAAATTCTCCATACCTTAGTAGATAAAGAAAGTCTATACTACTACATATGCGCAAGTTACAAGCATACATGTTGATTGTTAGTGCTTAATCAATAAACGAGACAAAAATAAAAAGCAATGGGTCAAGGCGATTTATCTGGTGAATATTCAGTTTAGTGAGAGATTAACAAAATAAATGTCTCGGACAAAAGTAAACAGTCACCAAGACTTCTATAACTTGGTTGATCATGGAGAAAACGTTGATAAGTATGGTCGCTTATCAACAACTTTTAAAATCTACAACAGTCCAAATTAATTTTATGTAAGGACTATTTTGGTTTAACATCGAATTTTATGAATACAAATTCATGGCAAATTGTAAATGAAATGTATTGTTTGAGAGTAAATTATTGTATTCTATGTGATGAACATTTAATTCTACACCGAAAGTGTTTAGACCATTAAATCACAACTTCGTACGAAGAGATACACAATATTAGTTTAATAACCACGCGGATTATAAATTATAACTACATAACAACTTACCTACGTAAAGAGCTATAGACAAACCTATGGCAGACCATAATGAGTAACGACCTCCAACCCACTACAACAATTAAAAGAAGACAGAAATTTCAGTTCATTCATAGAAAATAGAAGGATAAAAGTTGCGACGAAGGAATTTTTCAAATTGACGGATGTTCATATAAATTATTTTGAAGGTAACTGAGAGTATCTAATTTACTCGTATTCATGATTATAAGACAACTAAATGGCACTACGAAACAACTAATCTGAGAAATCTAAGCCGGTTTTAGACCTGATTGAGAAGTTAGTGACCAAATAGTTAAGGCAACATTTGATTCCACTGACTGATAGGCTTTGAAGAAATTTTTATAATTGAATGGAATTCAAAAGAATGATATAAACCGTTTTTTGTTTAAATACTGTCAGTCATTCCGAGTTTATGGATGCATGTCACTTGAATTGGCTCCGATGAGAAAGATTGGAAATAATGATTATACTGTGAAACTTTGGGAAACAATAAAGAAACAAAATCGTGCGTTTGACAAGGAACCAAAGCCTTATTTAGTACACAGGCCTGGTTACTATAAATATATATCGACGGCTTAAAAATACTACCGAAATTACAGAAATACTGAAATATGCAAGTTACTTAAGAAACTCTCAGGATAATATTCATAGTACTTTGAGGTAGACTTACATCCCAAAACTCAAACATGTTTTCCTGTGCTATGCCAAATTTGCAGACTTCTGTTGCATTAGTTGATAAGGCGACAAAGTGCTTGGCCACGTGAGAAACCTGTAAAAGCAGGTAAGAGATAAACAACTTATATTACTGTTATAAATACTATATGATGTCACTTTTAACTATTATGTTGCATCAAATCTATGAAGTATTATACTCAACCAACATCAGATAAAAAATCACCTAACAGCGAAAACTGATTAATTGAAAACGAAATTTAACGGAGAATCCTAATACATTACCGGTCGTTACCTACATTTTTCGCATGTTCTAAGAACCATTCTTTGGCAGAGTTAGCATTGGTCATCGTTTCAATGGTAGTGAAGGTCTAAAAAGAAAAAAGTGTTTGGTTAGAACACTTACACAAGCCATAAAATTAAAATAAGTGTGACGATCTAAGCTAACATCCAGATCGGAACACAAACAAGAAACAAAACCTGAGTTCCAGCCATCAATGATTTTATGGAGAAATAGAATTGGTCGATTGCCATTAACGTAAACCCCGGTAAAAATATGTTGCCCAACTTGAAATACCACACTAATAAAGGAAATGAAATGATGTAGCAACAATAATGTTGAAAAAAATTGAGGACTGGGAATCCAGGTCAAGGGAAAGAAATGGAAAAATAGGACCTACGTTACATGGGTCCGTGTCACTGTGATTTAAGGTGAACCATGCTACTCGTCTCCAGACAATGAATGCAGCTATCACACAGACTTCAACAAGGTAGTCTGCATCTGCTAACATGGTAAACTAACCGTTAATGACTACATGAACTGACACATTTCGGTTTGACCGCCCTTAGCTGTTTTTTCAATCTACTCCCACACTGGCCCATATCGAGCATCGAAGGTATTGATTCGGCATACGTCACACACATTCTAAACGCCTTAGTCGATGGATATTTGAAACCTCAACAACGCACTTTCCACTTTTGGCTAGGTTATTGGAAAACAAATAAAGGTTTAATAATAATATTTCAAAATTATGTAACGAGTATGAAGTGTCAGACACTCAGAGAATACCTACCTTGGAGGCGATGATAAATAGAACTGTCTCTGAATTTACTTTCTTTAATGTTTCCGCAATGTGTGTTCCATCTATATTTGAAACAAAATGTACCCGAATATGTGATGCATAAGGTTTCAAGCATTCTGTAACCATGACTGGACCCTGAAAAATCAAATTAAACAAAACTAAAATATCGTACTGCTAGAATTTTATAAATCATATTTAACATACCAAAACCGAAGAAAGCAAAATACCTAACTATTTCATATTTATAGAGAAGGCTACGAGATCCTCCAAATGTGATTGAGTAGATGATACTACACACTCCTGATACCTGGATAAAGAGGAATAATTTCTGGCTGTGGTTACGTGTCGCTTGACCTTCTTAGTTACACTTTCACAACAGAACACCGATGACAATTCCAAATACAGAGCGGGAACCACGTTTGCAAAATATTTAAAAACAAAGAATATTTAAGCGAACAATTGTTTTCGATAACGTCATCATCAGGCTCTACAGTCATAAGTCCATAATTATTGTGATATTTTACAAAGGTCAAAATAAGTCATGCATTAATGAATTCGACAATGTTATATGTCAAAAAGGGCGAACCTTTGCATCTATTATAGTATAAATACTCCAAAATTGTGTTATTTGTAAATTAGTAGGTCATTTAATAAGGGTCAGAATGATTTGCAGTAAAGTGTCAATTCACGATCAATATAATATAACGAAATAAAAAATCGTGTGAGTAAAATGCATAGTATAAGAATTTAGTCTTGTTACTCGAGGTAGTAATAATAATATGAACATTGTGTGAATATAATTTGTAATAAGAGAGGTAGCTACGAAAGTAGCAACAAATAAGAACTGTTTCAATAACGTCCTTTCAGTTAATAAATTCACCAGGAAGAGGAGAACGACAATGGTATAGCTTTCCTCGATGTCCTACTTTTTAGAAGGATAGACGGTTCCATGGGAAGTAATGTATTTGGAAATAATACATGAACAGGTCAGTATATCATAGCTTTACAGCTCTTTAATACAAAATAAATTTAGTTAAATGTCTCAACCACAGAATTAAACTACTATTCTCTGAAGATAGTGTAGATAACGAAGTAGATAATCTAAAGAACACACTACGGAACAACAACTATCCAGGTAATTACGTTAGGAATTTTCCATTAGAGGTAATGAAAAAAGAGCAAACTGACACGGCCAGTAAAAACCTCCATTATCTGAAAGTGAGCTTTAAATGGGACATAGCGGGTGATATTTTAACACGTCAACTCAAAAGATTTGCTGATAGGACGTTTCACGCTGCCAAGTTACATGTAATCTATATCGATTAACAGCGCCATTCTTTCTCACTTGGTGGACGGTAAGCATCATATCAAAATAGATGGAGCTTTCTCTTTTTTTATACGAAGTTCCAAATAATCTACCTAAAAGAGCTAGATAACGGCTACTCTACATCGCTGAATCCATGTGGATCAACTCCAAAAAACTGAACTTATGTGTACAGGAGTATATCAAGCATCTATGTTTACTTTGCTCCGCGACTGGATCACCGGATACCTATATTGGATATTATAAACCTCTTATTCCTCTTTCCACTTCCTTTTGTGTTTACATCTTTCATAAACTTCACAATCATTTGTCCCAATTAACACGAATTCCTTTCCATTGCAACTGCCTTGATAACACCTCTCTTATTACAAATTATATTCACACAATGTTCATATTATTATTACTACCTCGAGTAACAAGACTAAATTCTTATACTATGCATTTTACTCACACGATTTTTTATTTCGTTATATTATATTGATCGTGAATTGACACTTTACTGCAAATCATTCTGACCCTTATTAAATGACCTACTAATTTACAAATAACACAATTTTGGAGTATTTATACTATAATAGATGCAAAGGTTCGCCCTTTTTGACATATAACATTGTCGAATTCATTAATGCATGACTTATTTTGACCTTTGTAAAATATCACAATAATTATGGACTTATGACTGTAGAGCCTGATGATGACGTTATCGAAAACAATTGTTCGCTCAAATATTTTCCATTTTTGAATAAACTATTTGTGAATGGTGGAAATAAGTTAATTAGATAATGATTTGATGTAATATTATATAACACATACGTATAGTAGTATATTATTGTTAGTAATGTGTGGCGCATATATATTTGGTGCCCTCTTGTACCAATATTTATGTGTTCAAATAAATAAATAAATAAAAATTGTCAGTAATAAGTAGTATTTTGAAAAATCACATTTGAAACGATATATATATATATATATATATATATATATATGACATGTAGGTCATTTCATGTGACAAGATTTATAACAATGTCATGTGTTGTGAAATGTACATGTTGGTCAAAGGATTTTCATGTATGAAAGAAACACAATTGACTCAATATCATTCTGGCTAACCGACGCGTCTTTAGATTTCGGTATTTTGTCAGGTTTTGTTGCAAGCACTGGAAGCGATTTCATTTGTCGTGTAGGTTTAGGAAGGAAATTTGAATATATAGTTCCTACCGTCAATATGCAGATCAACAAAGAAAGTAGGTGTTACTTTATCAATTTCAATAGTGTTAGTCTTACCTTGCTTGTTAACGGTAGTGAGTTAATTGCTTTTCCTTACAACTTTGTAGCCCATTGTACACTATTTGTGAAGGGAACGGGATGTTGTCCATTTTCACGAAAAGACGTACGTGATCAGCCAGTTGTTGAACGCGTGTTCATCATTGTCATACAACACGTGATTTCTTCAGTTCACTCATAAGTTATATGGGGCATTACACATAACTAACTATACCAAGTGGAACACTTATGTAAGGTAGAGAACTTTTCAGGTAACCTTAAATTAGTTATATAAACCAACTCAGCTGCTCAACATCCAGTATGTACATTGGTCTATGAGAGAAAAGAAATTAAACTCATTTGATAGAGATGATGGTGTATACACGATGATATTTTCGAAGTTAGTGCTGAGGTTACGAAAAGGACTGAGTGAAGAATTGGTATGGTGATTGATTCTAACTAAGTATTTGACTGCTAGAAAAAATTGACAATTCCCTTTAAAGGTGTAGTGTTACATCTGTATGGGGTTTAACCTTGAGGAAGCCAAACGGTTGACATTTTCTATTTGTTTGGTGTGGTAGTGGAGCTTTTATAACTATATCAGAGGTATCCTTTATGTGTTCTGAAAAGTGCTGGTTAGTTCTATTCAATGGTGCCTGATTCTTTAGAAGATTCTAAGTGATTTTAAGCCAATGGATGATTTTAGCTGAAAAGTGTAGAACAGTTACGCCACCGGGAATGAAGTGGTAATAAAAATGGGCGAGTCTCAAGAAACGCTAGCTATTTCGATGAGTTAGGTTGTACGTAATCGTGAGCACCAAATTTTTAGCCCAAATCATTCCACTATTTGTATAACTAGTATAACAGTAGTATCTTTCACCACTTCATCAACAGGTAGAAAAAACAAGCTATCGAGGTCATATGAGTGAATTCTAGCTACGTAGGCTAACCCTTAACAGTAAGAGAAAACAAAGCTACTTTATTACAGTCACTAAAAAATTTCATTCAAAGCCCCGAGGAAAGGTGCTGAAATAGAGCATTTGTTTCGATGCCTCATATAAGGACGCTTGGATGATTCTATGAAACTTACAACAGTGAACAATAATAACTCCGGATGTTAAAGGTGAGTGGAGTGGCATGAAGTTATTCATTGGTTTTTAAAAACAATTTTTCGCAACACGTACTAACCATTCAACGTTTACTTGATTAGTAAATTTACAGTTAAAAATGAGATGTAAAAAAAGGTGACACTCACAAGGTCTGAACCACCAATGCCAATATTAACAACATCTGTTATTTGCTTCCCTGTGTAGCCTTTCCATTCACCAGATCTAACAGAATCGCAAAACTTAGACATGTGTTCAAGAACTGCGTTAACTCCCGGCATAACCTAGTTAAATGATTAAATAAAAGAGGCAGTTACATTTTTCCCATCGACCATAATCGGGACATTTGATCGGTTTCGCAGAGCTATATGCAGGACGGCTCTATCTTCCGTGAAATTAATTTTTCTTCCTTCCATCATGTCATCACGCATTTTTTCAACATTACTATCTCTAGCCTAAAATGGTATTAAGAAAAATATATGGATAAACCAATTTGATAAGCTGGTCAAAACTCTGAGTGTCAATTAGGTTTTTTGAGTAGTCCAAGAGAATAGTACCGCCAGGAAGACTCAAAACCTGACTGGAGTTGAAACAATGAGAATACATATAGAAGTAACCTGAATTCCGAAAATCTTTTAGGATTCGCAGCAAACATTTCTCTCATTGTTTGCGGAACTTTTTTGAAGTTCCGAATAAAATCATGTAACGTCGACATCGCAATTATGAAGAGGTTACGTGACCTAGCCGACAAAGTACCGCAGCTATTGAAAAAGGTGCAACGGATCCAGGAAAAGATCTAGGAAAACGTAAAGCTAATAGTAATATATTGAAATAGATATCAATGATATGAATCAAAAAGGTTATGTATGAACATAGAGGATCTAAAAATGGCTTTCACAACAAAATCGCATATTGACTAATAAAATAACAGCAATCCAAATTTCTCAATTTCGGGGCAAACTTTTATTAGTTTTGTGGAAATTTCGGAGAATCTGAAACAGCGACTTCTTGATTTATACGACAAAAACCCAAGAATTTTCTGGTCAGAGGTTCTTCCTCAAAATCCTAAGTCATTTTGGGACATCATGAAATCATTCGGGTTAAATCCCAAAGTTCCCCAAAAACTTCACGGAATTTTCCGGGAATCCGGAGGTAGGGATAAATTTTACTTAAAAGCGCTCTTTGAAACAACCGTCAGAAGTGAAATTCACTTTTTGGTTGGCCCTGACGGCATGAATCGAAATATAAATCCGTTAGCGTCACTGAACAACTAACCAGGCCAATGGTCCCATTCTGTAAAGAGCAGCGTAACAGGAGTTTACAACATCATTGCAATTTTCGAATAGCATACAATGACAACCAAATCACAAGTAAATGACGTATATTAGATTTATTTTAGAACCTAAGGTTACGTGTGCATGGATTAAGCATGTAACTATGTCCATTCATACATGATATAGATAAGCAATAGATGCCGAATGTCAATGTGATCACACATAAAGAGCCACGAAGAAAGAAAAGACACTCTCTTATTTGTGGCTACGAAATTTATTCAATATACATGTTATTCTATAATTTTTGCCTTAAAACATATGGATGCTGAAGTAAACCCAACGCAAATTCTAAGAGATCATAAGGCTAAAATTTCGGATGACCCACCGAGTCATACATTATTCGTGAAAAAACGTGTTGACGGACATTATACTCCAGTTCACAACATACTGATAGTTTAGTGAACATTACAAAAAAAGGGAGTATTGAAATCGATGGTTTTCGACTTTTTTGTAAGAAGAAGCTATGGGCGATCCAGAAGGCGGATGGTAGAACAAACGCTCTCAGAACCACCGTATATCACAAAATCTATTTGAGAGTAATACCGCCGATACCGAAACAAAGCAAAAAATGTCTGATAACTAGCAAACTTTCTTAAGACTTTTTTGGTGTCAAAATATTGTAGGACCAGACAATAGTGGCAACAACCAATACTGGCCGATCTTTCAGTAGCTTTTCGCACCTACTGGATAAGACTTCAAATTACGATTCTCTTGCATATACAGGAGACAAAGCGTAATTTCCGCGACTAGGATTAGTGAGGTGAACTTATCCGCAACGCAACCATGTAAACTTAATGTATCGCCCAGGGTCATCTGTGCGTTCAAGTAACCACAGATTTTGTCATTCCATAATGTATTTCTAATTAAATAACTAGATTATGTAGTTAATTTTGCTCTGTTTTTAATTTTTATTCTCCACGTCCGACTGCGTCACACTGTACGTCCATTGCACGCTGGGATGATATCTCAAGTCATAGTGAGTTTATTCACATAGTTGATTGTTTCCAGATAGACTGTCAGTGCATGAACAACTGCCTGTTGTCATCAGTATGAAAGCAGTTTATATGTATCCTTCGTTTTCTTAGGTAAGTTCGACTGGCCTATATTTCGTGTTTTGGTTCTATCGGCTGGATTTTGTTCATTTTACTCCGTTTAGCAACATGTCTGTGCAAATGGAACAATAATTATGACACTTGCTTAGTTTAGTATTATTGGTTGTCGTAAAATTCAGTTTAGTTGAAAGAATTATGGTATTCTTAAGTATAGTGCTTGAAGCCTGTAACGAAACAGATCAGTTTAGTAAGTAGGGCTGCCTGTTTTTTATGAATATACTGATTCAAATCAGTCGATTAAAAATAGGAAAAAAATGCCTTTGGTATTGTTGCTGTTATGCATTATAAGATAGCGTAGATCACCAACGTAGATGATCTATGTCGAAATGGTTGGAGGCCTACTCGAGTTAGACGTGAATGGTGTGACGAACCAACTAACGTCGAAGTCACACCTCGTGGTCAGCACCTTACGTGGACTACCCCCATTGACGTATCAAGGTACTATAGACGCTTTGAAGACTGTGCAACACAAAGGACGTTATTACAGAAATATATTAGTTAAAGTAGATACAAGCGAAAGTAAGACCACTGCCGCATGGGCCAGTCAATGGCATACGATTAACTAATGCGCGTTGCTTGTACATAACCTTGGCAGGGAGCGATGATCTGTTCGACATTCAGTGATCCAACTGCCGGATGATTTGGCTAGGGCTCAGTGACATTTCACTGGCCCTACAATAACTTTAAGTACGTTTGGTGTTTATTTGTAGACAGTACGTCTAACACTGTTCATGTTTCAAGACCGCTGTCATTAAACAATTTCCCCGGCAATAACATCGGTAGCAGGATAGCTAAGTGTCTGAGCTTTTATTCGCCTGCAGAAGAGCAGTATACAGTCTTAGATGAGGCGTGTCCTGTCTTAATTAAATGCTGTTGGCTGTGGACAAATGTTCAGAGTCTTTTTGACAACTGGAACTTTTAGTTTACCAGATACTAAATCAACTTGTATATCTTCCTGTAAAACCAGACGCAGATGCATGGGAATTCTTAAGTGGGAGCAAAATAATAAAAGCTGTGCGATGCTGTACTTTGCACAAGTTTTAGTAGCTGGCGTGATCTGATATTTATGAAGTCGAGGTAAATCACAGCTGCATAAATTCTTTCCTTAGAAACATGTAATTTGTTTATTTACCTTTTCAACATTCTTGACTAAATCCATTACCATCACAATTGATTGATCACTGGGTGGTGATCAATGTCATGCTTGTCTAGTCCTTATTAGTGCAGATCGAATGCTATCGATCATGTTGCAATGTGGCCAACAGTCTACAGGAGGTTAGTCACGGCTGGGATAGCTCAGTGGTAACGTCTCTGACTGTGAAGCTGGGTGACACGAGATCGAATCCGCCAGGGAGCATCAGTTCCCTCAAGATTACAGGTACAACTTGCTGACGAGTGCCAAGTAGCACGAGACCCGGGTCCAGGGTTTCCTGTTGACTACCTCCAACCACCATCTAAATCCATTACCATCTTTTATTTAGAATGTAACAGGAATGAGCCATCACAGATTTTACAAAGTCATTCAGCTTTATAACTATGTCCCTATGAAACTTTATGGGGGACCCAAGTAACAGCAGATTATTAAAAGCATATCGGACGTCCACTTTAATCTTATAACCACTTTCAGTGTCTTGGAGTTACTTCTTATACCCTGTCGTTTGAAAAGAAACAACTACTGCAGCTTCACTTTACCAATGCTACAATGTAATTTGGAACCTGGTGTAAATATTTGTTTCATATTCCATTGTTAATTAAAGTTCGTGAATAAATTTATAGACTTGATGCTATTTCGTTTTATCTAGTTAATCGTTGCAAGAAACTGGTGAAACGCGGGCCTGTCACCACCTAGTTGATATGTAGTAATTTCAAGTTAAGACAGTTGACTCAGTCACACATCCTAACAGTCGCTGCCTGTAACCTTAGTTTCTGAATGAAATACCATATGATAAGCAAGCAACGGGAAACCCCTAAGTCCGGGCCTCCTTAACCTATTTCAGCCACCAAGATGTGTTGCAGTAGTACGTTGATAGGTACGCGTTTAAGCCATAGTTGTTCATTGGGATGCCGTCGGACTTCCAATCAATACCTTAGCTACACTGACGGGTCACTAGTATCGTGAGGGTACGCGCTAGTCAAAACACAACTACAGGCCCATTCAATTTTTTCACCCCCTTATACGATATATAGCAAGAAACTCTGTATTTAGTGAATACAAGACTTTTATTTAATAAGGTATTAACAAAAACTGGCAACGCAGCAGATGCACATGACGAGATTTGTGTTCATTGATTATCTGAAATAGAGAGTACGAGTATTAGCTTAATAGAAGCACTTATAAATACCTAGATTTTGGTTTCCAAAGAACCAGTAGACTTAGCATGTTCGGAAACTGTAGCCAGACGTGTTAGGATGTACAGAAAAATATACCAATAATTATCATGTTCAGTCTAATGGTGGCCTTGGACTTCAAATGTACACTCCCTATTGGTCGATATTTATTTCACTTGTTAAATATTGTACAAATGTTGTTTTCTATTTCATGGTACGATGTGGTTTGTTTGGTTGGTATATAAACAGAGTATGTCTGAAATATAATGATTCATATCTCAGAGGCTAAGACTTGCGTTCTGGACTCAACTGACTGGGATAGACAGCGAAGCAGGGCCAATCAGAACTCTAGGCCAGTCTTACGTGTTTTCCATGTCACAAATCCGATCGATAAAACGGTTCACTCAAATCTGCAGTCCTCACGTTACAACAAGACGCCTCATGCGTATTAATTCATCAACTTGATCTACCAATTGCCTTAGTGTGTCCTGCGCCGTCGTCTGTCCGAAAAGTTTACTGAGTGTGTGGATTTTACTGCGTAGAGTGCGAAAAGTCTGTTCGTTTCATTATAATCTGGAGACGGAATAGCTGGTATATTTCCATCTACATCTTGGACAGCCTGCCAAGTCCATCTGCAACAGAGCTTCAAAATTAAATCAACTACTTCATGATACAAAGATGAACATAACATACCTGTGAACTCTGGCATTTGTAGACGAGTAAGAACCATTTGCTTACATGGAATTCGACAGGTTTGAAATAAGCGGCAGGTGCAAGTGCCGTTGCTTATATCCACTACCGGACATTGATGGCCGTCTACGAAGAACACAAAGGGTGACTGGCTATTCTTGATGTACATCAGTCCCCTTTTTTATAGACTTTAAGGACTATAGAGCCAGCATAAGTGGTTAGCTTGCTTAGTAGAGGCATTAAGCAATCGTCAGCTACGTATCTACGTTTGTGACTGCAGTGTAAGCTGGACTGTAATGACCTACGTTTGCCTAATTGCCTCTGCCATGTAAATGTCTTCTACATACACTTATTCAACGCGTCTCCGTTAGACAACTTTCTCTTCAGTTGTCTGTGCGCACTTTCAACCCAGTGGTTGGTGTTGTTACCCAACGTAACGACATTGCTGTTGAAAGCTGCGGCCCAAGTTTCTTTCCTACTCATTCAGTTCTTGTTAAAGTAGGCTGCGATGCGTCTGCTGCGTACACTGATTATGCGACGTGTCTGATTAAACTTAGCTACTGTTTGTTCACTCACCAGTTGACAAAAGTACTGCCTGATTATCGGATTGCGGGTTTTCTTATACATAGCTCTACACACGTGGAAAGAGCATAGAGCTGTGTGGGCAGTACGGTGCGTTAATTGAACAGCGGATATGATGGATCTTGCACAATCCGTCACAAACGTTTGCGTTTGACTGGTTCCATTCATGATCTTTTTAAAATGATCCAGTATCCATACCACATCAACCTTCTTCTCTTCCTTGGTCCAAGCAAACATAACTGGGACTCCATGTCCGCAGTTATCTGTACAAACCAACTGAAAGAGTTTATAACTAAAGACAATTAGTACGCGGGACAATTTTAATTACTTTCTCCTGTTCGTGTTGCATGTTGAATCCAAACACACAACTTCAGGGAACCGTTTGTACGTTTCAATTTGATTGTGCGTGCTAAATGCTATCTTTGTAACCTGGTTAGCCACACCCCCATAAGAAACGAACACTTTTCCATTGTTCCGTAACGTTGCAATTACGTCGTTTAAACTTTCACAGCCTTAAATACCCTAGATATATGGGTTAAGCTTACGCTCGACAACTTTATATTTTAAATTATTAACATACGGCACCGTTATTGTATTTCCAAAATGGTCTTTGGCATACTTAACTATTGAATTTGCATTACTCACAGTCTCGACCATCGGCCGGACAACCTTCAACTGATCTTCACTTAGTCTTCGGAACCACCGATCATTTTTTAAACACTTTTCATCACAAGGATGGTGATGTAGCATCCTCGACCACGATATGACGAACCGGTTCACATCATACCGTAAACGAATCATAGCCTTGCAACCACTAAACTTTGATCTATGGAAATTGAAAACAGTACTAATAATCATTTACCCTTTTACTCTCTCACCATGGCCCTTCGGCTTCTTTTTATGGCCAAATGAACATACATACACTACATACTCGTAGCGAATTTCCGGCTTTTCTTTGTTCAGCCTGCTTTCACGTACAACATAATGAGTCCAAGTCATCTATTTAGATGGTGTATTACCAGTAACAAACCTTTTGCAACAGATCGATAGCTTCTCTAACTTGGTCCCAGCTTGTCAGGTGCCTGGGTCTCATAATCATTTCGAAGACATCACTGGTATCCACAGCCACTGGACACTCAGTATTAGTTTGACTGGTTGATGGAGTAGCGCGACCCATAATACTGCGGAAAATAATAAATCTTTCATTCTGCCTGATAACAATAAATAACAGTTAGGGACGAATATGCGGCCAGTTACGGCCACATGCGGCAGCAACAATTATTTTAGCTAAAGGAAACTAACTTCCGTTCTCCATATCTAAAAAACAATGCTCAAAATATAACGGATTAAGATTTTATGACATAAGAAAAACGAGCTTGCCTGCCAGTTAGGAACGATTATGCCGACATTTCGAGTTCCATACAGCCGCAGCACTTATTTAAGCTAACAAAACTAACCTTCGCTCCCGATATCTGAAAAAAGAACTCAGAACAAAACGCATTAACATTTTATAACACAAGACTAGCCAGATTGCCTGAAGAAATACATTGACTTGAGTAGAAGCAGCAAAAACCCAGAAAAAATCGCTGATTCAAAGTAAATTTCACACTAACATATAGAACATTACACTAACTGCGGCATTTTAGCACACCGAAACATTAAATTACATAGCTACACAAAAGAAATGGCTGAAAGAAGCACAGAACGAAGAAAGCCGACCGCCATTGCTTACAAAGATGGCGGATGTAATAATTCCCGCCTCACTCTGATTGGTTGCTAAGCTGAAGGGCACATTTACGAAATTGAGTTGCGTTTAATTGTAGCCGATTAGTGAGATTTTGCTGAGTGCCGTTATCAAAACCAAAAGGATGACATTCTTGGAGCAACTGCTTGTTTCAAATCTGGAAATCAGACGTTGACTAAGCTGGGTGTTTTTTAGTAGCGGATGTTCGATACCCCACAGAGATTTTTTGAGTACATATAATTAGCTTGTCGTAGTTAACAGAAGCCAGCTCATTAGTTGTCGTCCATAGCTACAGGTTTGATGGATTTGTTCGAACTACCAGGTTCATAGTGTCAATATAAACGCATCGATAAATGATGACTTTACCTCTTTCGCCTGGTAATACCTCGAAATTGCAAACCACTTGCCGCGAAGACAAAGTTAAGGACTCAACAGCAATCTATATTATACAGTAAGGACAGCCAATGAGACACAGTCACGGATGTTTGAGCCTGGCAGATTAGCTACAGTAAATACAGGATTTCAGCTAATGATTTAACTGGGACTGACTTCGCAATCAGACAGCTTTTTGGCACCTCCGCTGTGCATACTAGTAGAGAAGGCTGGAGGCTGATGTCTTTGTGTTGATTAAGGGAGTCCGGACAACCGGATTATACCGAAGAGATATCCCCTCCCACAAATGAACAATTTTTGTTGTGGTTTTGCATTTACGTGGAATTGGGTTTTCGAATGTATGATAAGTACAATCGAGCAGTGAAGCGATAAATGGATTGGTGAATAGTATTTATCGTTGCACTGCAATTTATGGTAATTATGAAGTGCAAGGTCAATATACTTTTTCATCGGTATTATAACCAGATCCACTGATTCATAACATAACATTTCCAATCATCTACATTGATACTGACCCTTTGAATTTCCTTGAAGACACTAATACTCGAAGGCTCTTGTTAAGACATCCACAACAAGACACGTTACATTACAGTGTGCGAAGCATTCCCTCCAGCAAATAGCCAGCTTAGTGGTTATACATTGCGACGTATCAGCTTTTTATCCAGACGTATCTTCTTCTCGCGTCATCCTCGGTTTATGGTTCCATTGTCTTTCAAAAGAAGAGACCTCGACATCATTATTATCAAGTCCTTCACATTCGACATTTATTCGAGGATTATTGTAGAGTCAGTATTTAGTAGAATATCGAATGCTCTAGCTAGTTAGTGCATGTATAAAAACATCTTGGTTCCAGTAGATTGGTCAGTTATCCTATATTTAAAGAACATAACTATGTACGCCTTAATTTTCCTGAATGTATGCAGATGTTCGTTTTGTCGACGAATGCCACATATTTGTAATCTGTTGGATTTTTCACAATCCTTGAACCTAATGAGGATAATGCTGCTGATATTTGTATATTCAATCTTTTCTATTCTAGAGACCAGCTTATACGTTGGTACTCACTTGGACGCTTTTGAAGTCTTTTTAGAATATTAGCACTATATGTATGTCATTAACAACAAATATGAGGATTTCTTCGGCGGTAACGACGATTTAACACAGTTGTCGTACGTTTTCAACTTCGGATGGGGAAGGCATGATACACAAATATAGAGCAAGATCAATCTTACTGGTGCGTTTTGGAATATAAGAGATGCATACTTGAAGCCAGTGGGTTGGAAGAAACCTATGATAGACCTATCACTCGATGGTTTTTATTTCGATAACGTAGATCTTTTCTAACTATATGAACGATGGTAACTTTGTTTTAGGATATTAGAGGCTCAGTCAATTCTGTAATCAACAGGACCCAAGTATTCCTAAAAAGGACTACATTTTGGCACTCTGGGTCTAATGTCTTGTGACCTGCTGTGGTAGAATAAAATGTCTCAAAAACGTATAGTGAAACTAATAAAATTATTGCTTTTTGTTATGTCCTTTAGTCTGTCTACCCACTTTTGGTGCTGACGGTGCTTATCTAATACAGATTAAGACCTTGGCGCGATTGGCACACCGACCTAACCTTGAGGCTAGTACGCGTGAGTTTGAAATGGGGTAGAGAGAAGAAAACTATTCTATCACCTGATTGGCTGACAAGCACGCGAATGAGAGAAGACAAGACAACTGGAACACTACTCGACCTATTCGTGATATCCTGATTTCCTCTGATTTCTCAGTGTAAAAAGGTACATGAATAAATAGGTAACTAACCTGACCTCAACGTACAATAATTAGGAAAAATACAATTATATCCAAAGCCGGGAATTAGCGTAGAAAATAGGGTGCAAAATATTATGTTTAAATTACCATAGCTTCGGAACAGAAAAGGGTATGGGAATGATTCATACATCGAACGAAAGCTTATGTTCTACAAAATAGATTAGGGACAAAAATAAATGTCAGTGTTTTACAAGCTTTGCATAAAGTGGAATGATGTCCTGAAAATAGCTTTCGTAGTTTGACAGGGCTTCCTGTTTCCCTGTTAACATCATCTTCCGTCTTGACAAAATAGTTAAAACTGCCACCCAGCTGAGTGTATAAATAAGTGAAACTGGTTGACGTTGTGATCCTTGTAAAGTGTAACCAAAAAAAGAAAAATGCTTAGTCACTAGGTACAAGTAATAGCTAAGATATCATCATTAATATCTTCCCTCAGAAACATGTACTCTTCTCTTTGGGTCCACTTGCAGAATAACTGGTCTTCTATGTTTCGTAAGGATCTCCTAATAGGATTTTGTTCGGGTTGCACAGTCTTCCGAGTCGCTGAACTTTGTAAATCGAAACTCTCCAAAAAGATTTTCCACATTGAGCCTAGGTTCCCAGTTATCTGAAGTTCCAGCATTTTCCTTTATGTGGTTGACATGATGTGTCCACTTTTGGCCTTCAACTTCCACCACATACATTACATTCCCTCGCCTCTGAGGTATGCGTCCACTGGTCCATTGCGGAGGTGAGTATCAGAAATCACGGACGTATACGTTTTGACTATTTTGAAAGATTCTACGTCTCGCCCCATGATGGCGATTAAATTGGATTTCCATCCTTCCGTTTCTCTTTGCTATGCCATTTTGCTCTGGTTTTATAGAATGTAGAGCAGTTTTAACTTTTCCACCAAACATAATTTCTGCTGGAGACACTTGACTTCCCTCCCCTTTTGCCTTCACTTATAGGGGGAACATTTAATGTGGTCACAAAACAACTAAGTCTGATCCAGATTGATGGAATGATTACTAATATTGAAACAAGCTTTACTTGATGCTTGTTTGAAACTGGGCTACGACCAATTTCGCTGCAAAAATCAGTTTTGAAATCTAGATGTGCTGGCCATCAAACCCTAGTTAAGGTTAACTCATATGGAATTCAAACTAGGGTTTGGATTGAAGAATAACTACCTAGGTAGTTTAGATACGCGCTATTTCCCAGTCAAAATGAAAACAAGGCGACTGGGTTTTCATTATAAATATAAATGTACATTATTACCTAAAAAAATATTACCACCCACTTATTCAACCAGTAGTTGTCCGGCCAGTTGTAGTGTGGCGTCGAGTTGCAGTTGACTATGACCACCACTGCAGGAAGAATAGTTGCCAGTTAACCGATAAGATCCCCTGTAGGCCAAATATCAGAAGGCAGTTGATGGCTGTAGTCGAGATGTATTTGTTGGCGATCTCGTGGTATCGAAAGAATACCGAGGTCGTACCAGGTTACAATTGGGATTACTGAGCGTAACCGAATTCGTGTAATGTCATAATCAACGGAAGAATGTATGTTCTTAGTACCGCTAAACAAACAAGTACAGTAGAACAGTCCCTGGTACAACTGGTTATAATAGTAATTGTTTCCATTACACCAATCGCGTTCTCTTGATAAAAGTAGGTTACCACATAGTAATCAAATCAGATGCAACTAATAAATGTTATTTTATCTCTTCTGGTTAGATCACATAGGGATTCTTTCGAAAGATAATATTTGACTGCATTATAACATCGAGTGTTTCCAACTCTGGAACAGTGCTTCAATATGCAATCGAAAATGCACAGTTCCAGGAAATGCGAACAACACAATCAAAAGGGGAACAAATCAATATGGCTGCCTGAAAGACTAAGTATAGACTAAAAGAACATAGATTCAGTCCAGGTAGAAACATGAAAACCTAGTGAAGGCATAAGGAAGACAAAAAACTACAATAAAATACAAATATTACCACCTCAAATGAACTCACAAAGACTGATGGGATGTACAACTGAAGGAATCAATAGGAATAAATTACAAGTATATACATGGATGAATTTTTGCACACAAAACCTTCAAAATGGATGAAACACCCATCCCTACTGTCAATGAAGTTGTGGTGTTGTAACTAATAACTCTCGTTCAATCTTTAGGAAGATAGAATCCTTAGAGTTTTCCAATTCATTTTCTTCTGCTTGTTTGCGTTT